ATAATAATAATAATAATAATAATAATAATAATAATAATAATAATAATAATAATAATAATAATAGTAATAATAATAATAATAATAATAATAATAATAATCCAATTATTCAAAACGAACGGGGCGTTACACTCGAAGACGAGGTAAGCAAAGTATGGAGGACGATTGGATATGGCGTGCTGAAGATTGCACTGGGTCGGAAGGATGGGACCCATGGGACGAGCCACGACCATCGGTCGAGCCGACGGGGTCGAGCGGCAACAAAGGGGTCGACGGAGTTTGGCTAATGGGCGAATGGCACGCATCGGCGGGCGAGCAGGCCACGGGCACTGGCAGCACGCGCGGAGAACTTGGTGCACGCGGGTGCGCGGTAGGTAATTTGGGCACGGGCGTCGATGGTACGCGCGAGCTGGCAGACGAACGCGAGAAGGGTGCGGGGGCATCGAGCGTGGGCAGCAACCGCGGAGGTGGTTGGGACGTGCGGGAGTAGGGCAACGATAGCGGTGCGCGCGCATGGGCGCGCGAGTGGAGTAATAACGCGGGCGGAGACCTAAGCCTCGCAGGCTTAGGAATGCTAGACACGCACACGCGAAGGGAAGGCGGCGGATGCCGGGCGCGAGAGATGACGAGCGCGTGCGAGGCGGATGAGCGAAGCCCAGTCCGCGCGGGACTAGGCGAGGCGGAGGCGGCAGGCGCATGCGTGCAGGACAAGGCGCGCGATGCTCCGCGCGCCAAGGAATAGGAGAGCGGACGGGCGGTGCACGTTTGGGCGGCGCGCAAGAGGCGGTCCGTGTGAGGCGACTAGGGGTATTTATGCGTATGACTTGAGCTTCAAGTAAATTGGAGTGCAAGTAAAGTACTTTTAGTTATAGTAATATTAGGATTTTATTGCTTTCTAGTATTAGGATTTCTATTATTGCAAGATTTAGGAGATCTAGTATAATTAGGCTTAGATTTAATTCTGCACCTATAAATACCCATGTACCTCTTCATTATTGAACATGTTGAGAATTGATGAGTGAATAGAAAAGGGGAACATTGTGTTCTACGTGTGTATAAGCAAGGCCGTAGTGGGTGTTTATCATACTATCATGTCAGAGAGAAGACCATTAGAGCGTCTTGAAGTCACAGTGTCTAAGAGAAGGCCCTGAGAGCGTCTGTTAGTCACACCTATCGTGTGTAGTCGAAGGCCCTGAGTGTGTGATTACTCACAACCGAATAGACAAAAACCGCGATCGTTCATCATTGGTGCTTTCGTTGAGAGGTGCTGATCAAAGTTTTTGTCTATCTATCTTTTTCTTTTTTTTTTCGGTTTGCCTTTTGCTGAGGGGCCGAATTTCTTTTTCTTTTGTTTGAATTTTTGGTTCGATTTTTCCTTCTTTTTTTGATTTTTTCGTGAGTTTGTCGAGAGTAAAAAAAAAGTGTCATCCTAGTAGTCTTGTTATTTTACATAGATTCTTAAAAAAAAGAGTCATGATGTTGTCATTCGATGAGTTGGATTTGGAAGATCTTGAGTATCTCGAAGGTTTGGAAAGGGAGTTAACCGCATGGGAGCAAGAGTATTTGGAGGAGCTTCACGAACGAAGAGATTGGGAGGAGCACGAACGACAACTCGTGGAAGCCAGGGAAGCTGAGGTGGCCAACGTTCAGAACAATGGTGATGAAGGTGCGTTAAATTTCATTATCCTTGAGGACAAGGAAAGTCTTGAAGAGGAGAGGAATGATACGAAAGTGGTTATTATCCCCAGTGAGTCAAGTGATGGGATGGTTGAGGGTCTCGATTTGTGGTTAGAAAATATGCTAGAGGAGCCATCTAGTCTGATTTACCGACCATCATGTGTGAGAGATTGACCAAAAGGATGTGGTCCAAGGTCGAAGCTGAAGGCTAGGAAATGCAAGGCTAAGAGACGACGGAAGATGAAGGCTAAAAAGGCGAGTCATTGTTGCGGGCCTTGTGGAGGAAGAAGCGGGCATGGAAGATGGAGGCTCGAAGACGAGCTAAGCAAAGGATGGAGGACGATTGGATATGGCGTGCAGGAGATTGCACTGGGTCGGAAGGATGGGACCCATGGGACGAGCCACGACCATCGGGCGAGCCGACGTGGTCTAGCAGCAACAAAGTAGTCGACGGAGATTGGCTAATGGGTGAATGGCGCGCATCGGCCCATGATGCGCGCGGTTGGACGGAGCAGGCTACACGTAAGTGCACGGCGAGCGAGCAGGCCA